AACGTATTTTCCAGTCCTCGAAACAAGAATTAAAGTCGTCTTCCGGGATGGCTTTCAGAGCGCGTAGCGATTCACGTTGTATCTCTTCTATCGTCTCAAAATTATTTCTCCGCAGTAGTCTTTTGAGTTTCGGGAATAGCCAGAAGTCACACGGTGCTAAATCAGACGAATACGGTGGTTGTGGAACGATATGGATCGAATTTTTGGCGAAAAAGTCACAAAAAACGAGTGCAGTAATTAAGATGTTTCACTAGTCGAGATTTTACACGTTTCAGGCCCAAAATATCTTTCAAAATGGTATTGGCAGATCCTTTCAAAATACCAACAGCATCAGCAAAGTCTCTAACAGTCATTCGACGATTAGCAAGCACAAGTTCTTCGATTTTCGTATTGTTCATCGGTAGAGGTTGATGGTCATCCGGAACGCTCTTCGTCTTCAACACTTTCACAACCTTCTTTGAACTGTTTATACCACTTGTAAACATTCCTTTCCGACAAAGCATGGTCCCCGAAGGCTTTCTGCAACATCCTGAACGTTTCTGCACCCGAAATTTCATTCCACAAACAAAATTTAATGCAACTTCTTTGCTCAATATAATTAGACATTGTAAAAATCGCCGAATGCACTTTTAGCGTCGTACAAAACCAAACATAAAGCAAAAAGTAATGAATGTTTTGATATGAAATTTGTTACAGATGTCTGTCACAATGCTGCCAACTTAGAAAAAAAATATTTATGATGTGCGGTTTACCCGCGCGATTTAAATTGAAAACTGGTCTTACTTTTTGGACACAGTAGTATATATATATATATATATATATATATATATATATATATATATATATATCCGTATGCAGTTAATATTAAATATTATTTGATTATTGATTTTTTACATGATAACAAAGAATGAATAAATTTCAATGAGATAGTATTGCTATTTCATGACTACTTACAAACTTAAAGATATTCTCCATATTTTTTAAAAATATAAATGACATTATCATAACAAATAGTTCGCTCTATATTTTATCAATATATTAACTTGAGGGCTTTAAAGGACCTACTCGGCTCAATAGAAAGCAGCTTTATTTTGCGTTTGTACGCTTTTTACATATAAGCAACTTGTAGGTGCAGTTAATTTAATAAATACACAAGATAATTTGATATTTTCGAGTTGTTGACTTTTTAACGGCTAAACAAATAACGGCTAATAGATTTTTAACGGATAATAAACGAAAGTATTGCGAAAAATAAATTCCTTCTGCTAAATTTTTCTGGGAATACATATTAGATTTGTTTATTGGATATGGACGATGTAATTGAGTCGTCAAAGTTAGAGTACAAGTTCTAACAAAAATACACGTTTGAGAGGAGATGTACATTAATGCCAGAGTTGAATGATATGTCAAATTAGCTGTCTGTCATTAGGAATCAATCAAATATTAATACAATACTATCTTGTTGTGCAAAGTATTCGTGACGAGAGTAATTCACGTATGTGCTGTCAGAATAATGAACAAGTTGCTTCTTCATATCGTCGCGTGCGATATTTTCTGGCTGTGCCTTACGATGTGCGTTATTTAAAAACCTACGACCGCTCACAACATGTTCGTTATTATAGACTTCTTTGTTTCCATTTCCGGAACAACTCGTTGGTGGATCCTTGATTCCTGTCAAATTATATCGTTATTAATTTAATGATTTGCTCGCTCAAATTGTGTTAGATATTTGGTTGCTTGATATTTGTGTCTTCCTGACGATGTGTTTTTGAACATCTCTTGTGTTAGTTATTCTCACTCCTTTGATATGCTCTGACATTGATATGTAATATTAATATTACATATCAATAATATGCATATTACAATCATAATATGTAATATTATGATATAAGATATATGTAATATTATGAATATAAGCTAAAATACTTACTTTTACGAAAAAAGAAAATATTTTTAATTTTTTTATACAAAGGACATAAACACTCATACAATCATAATATGTAATATTAAAGAAAATATTTTTTTCTTTTTTCGTAAAAGTAAGTATTTTAGCTTATAAAAACGAATTGAGGAACATACCGCAGATGTTAGGATACGCGCTCGAAGTTTCCAAAAGCTGGTCACAGCTGCGGTTGCCTATGCTGTATGGTGGCTTGCCAATTTCGTTGCCACTTTAATTATCAAACAGAGTGTAAAATGTTATACGATTTATTCGACAGATAATGTGTGTGTTAACCGCGCGTAATGATCAAAGTTCTAAAACTTTAAAAATTATTTTTTATTGACACAATTTTGAATGTTGACTTTATGATATCGAGATTATGATGTCTTGACGTTGTGACTTTAAATATTCCGCTTACTTTCAACAACTGCCAAAAAGATCTCTGATATATTGGAATAATCAATAAGTTCCATAAGATCCATAAGTTTATTCATAAGATTTTTCAACAAAATTAAAATGCATATTTTTATCTAGTTAAAAACAATTTCAATCAATAATATGTGCGCCATCCTGTTCGATAATCTCTTTTGCCATTTTTCACGTAATTTCATATTTCTCCTCTTGTAAAACTTTTATACTTTTTCAACGAAGAAATGTTCCAAGTGGTCTTTCACATCTTCTAAAGAAGCGAAGTTTACACTGTGAAGAGTGTTTTACAGTGAGTGAAACAGATGATAATCGGAAGAAACAATGTCGGATGAATATAGTGGATGAGGCAAAATGTCCCAGCCAAAGCTCTAACATTTTCTTGGAAGCAAGAAAGCATAATGCACCGGAAAAACTCGTTATTGTTTTCCATTTTCAAGCCGCAAAACAGACAGTTTTATTCTTTTGAACACTATCATTTATGCCAGGTAGGTACCATTAATATATTTACTTAAATCAAAATTCTTTTTATTTAAAATATTGTATTTCATTTAAAATACCGAGTATTGTTTAGTCGGTTTAAATGAAAAGAATTTTGATTTAAGTAAATATTAAAGGTACTCATCTAATAAATATTTGTTAATTTTTCAATATTTTGTTCTCAGTGTAGGCAGAAATCCGTACAAACTTATGGATCTCAAAACCTAATATCTTTTTTTATGTTTAATACTCACGTTGGCCCATAATGACAGACGTAGAGCTGGTAAGTTGTGTGATTCGATGCTTTATAACGGGAATATCCGCATCCGATTAAATAAGTCGTCGCCCAAGCGAGCTGCAAAGGTGAAAATAATAAGAGAAGCGTCCCGAAATATTCGAGACTGAAAATTTCCTCGGTTTATCTTGAACGATATAATATCGCATTGCTTGCACAACACATCCAATTGTATTGATGAAAGTCCAACGGGGAATTATTCTGGCAATAACGATGGAAATCTCTTTTTTATTAATACAGCTTACTTGCCAATCTTTCAGGACTATTTGGTGGTGTTTAATTATAAATCCACATAAAAAGAAATTGATATCATCCTTTCATATCCTTGTTTTCTTTTTCACTTCTCTATCATTTATATGCTACGCACAAAATTTCAAGAATTGCTTCTCTATCACGAAAAATAGACAAAATTTAACAAGCTTTTTCATATAAATAACGGCAATGAAGTTCAGAAAGTATTTTGTAACTTTTTTGTTTTCAACTTCTAAATTTGTAATCTCGAATATGAACTTATTTCTTCTTCTTTCTTTTTACTATAGTTTATTGCGTATTGCGCAAATAAAAAAAATTATACACAAGTGACATCCCCACTGCTTGAAAGTACGAATCATCCCCTTTAATTTGCTTACCCGTAGATTGCGGTACGATTTTTCTTCAGTGAGTTATTCGACTTTAAAGCAAAAAACAACCTTTCACCTTTGATCGCTCACAGAAGGTAAACGAATCGGCATATCACGTTCGTTATAAAATAAATAGAAAACTCTTCCTCTTCCAAGGTACATCAGAGGAAGAGTTTTGATATAAATAAGATCTCGCTGCAGAAACTTAATCAAGATTAAGATAAAGATGAAAATCAAAGGATCCATATTCTTCATTTTAATGACATTTTGATATGCGACGAATATTGATATAAGCCATACAGCACAAATATTCAAAAGACATCCTAGAGATATTTAAAGATATTTAAAGATAAAGTGGGTGTATGTGGTTCTTTGTAAATTGTAAATATTTTTCTATGGATTATTTTTATATATTTATAACTTTATTATATAGATTATACTTATTTATAATTGAATGTTTTCATAAGGGTAACTTGTAACTAATGCTTTTTTCACGATTGTTTGATGTTTCTTTTATTATTGTCAATAGGTTTTGAGTAGAAAACGACATAATAGTAATTGAATATGTTCTTTTTGTTGATATTCATAAATCGTGTGTATGGGTGTGGATGTGTGGCGTGTATAGTAAACCATGTATGAAAACATTCAATTATAAATAAGTATAATCTATATAATAAAGTTATAAATATATAAAAATAATCTATAGAAAAATATTTACGATTTACAAAGAACGACATATACATATACATATGTGTGGCGTGTATAGTAAACCATGTATGAAAACATTCAATTATAAATAAGTATAATCTATATAATAAAGTTATAAATATATAAAAATAATCTATAGAAAAATATTTACGATTTACAAAGAACCACATATACACACTTTTAAATATCTTTAGGTTGTCTTTTGGATATTTGCCGTATGGCTTATATCAATATTCGTGGCATATCGAGTGTTGTTGCGTTGTATGTGTGTGTATGTGTGTGTTTTAATATCTGTCAGTAAATATGTTATAATGAATATTATAAAGATATATTAAGGCCGGTTTTTCAATGATAGTTTAAACTTAGATCTCAACTTAAACTCTATTTAAATAAAACAAATGTATTATTAGAATAAAGTTTAAATTTAAATCCAAGTTTAAATTGCTATTGAAAAACCGGCCCTTAGTGTCTTGAGAACATCGTCGGAACATTGGGACCGCCGCGTGTCGTTCGATCGTCAAGCAATGCTTACTCTCTTAAAGTGAATCAGTGAATAGTTATTGATATCAGTTACAAGTATAGCACTGAGCACTTTCAGTGCAACACTTATAACTGCAAATCAGTGTATGTTCACTGTTTTCAGTGATTCATTTTAAAAGAGTATGGCTTTTGCACATGAATTGTAGTCATAAGACGTAAACTTCAGTTGAAGATCAATCAGGATTTTGTTGTAGTTTTGCGTGAAGAAGATTGAACTGCCGGTAAATCTGATCGTATGCAAAAGTAACAAAGATTAATCTGGTTAAAACCTTAGTTACTCAGTATAAATCCACTTATACGATCACGTTAATCTTTTTCTAGCTAGTAGAATCCTAAAGCAATATCCCGATTGGTTCTTTAGCTTAAGTTTATGTCTTATACCTACGGTTACGGCAAAATTCATGTGCGAAAGCTCTCACCGCGACCAGGAGATGGATGAGGTGATCGGCCGCACGCCGTTTAGGATCGAAGCTATTCGAGGGAAGGAGAGGCGAACGTTTGGAGTGTAGTAATCTTCGATTCCCAGCAGTTACGAAATATGAGAAAATTAGGGATAAGTTTTTGAAATCATTTTGACTTTTCTTTGGACAGTAATACTTTTTTGTAAAGGTAATTAATTCGATGTTGAAATTGTGGTCGAATACATGTCTATATTTATACGCTTTTGATGTTGAAGCAATCCGTACTTCGACATTGGGTCTTTGACGTCGATTCGATATCAATTGAATTACATTGACTAGAAGATAGAGGATATTACGCATAAACACGCATATGGAATTTTTAAACAGTTTATTATATTTATCTTGTATCCCCTAAAAAGGGAAGAAAAACTTTAAAAAAAGGGATATAAAAAATTTTTAAACTATTATTATTAACAAAAAGAGATTAACATAATAGTTTTGAGAGATATATTTCTTTAAAATAAGCTGAAAAATCGTCGATCTCCAAGAACTTTTTTATTAATTACAAAAGATAAGAAAATGTGAGAAGTAAGATCTTTGAATTTTTGCGTATATTGGAATTATTTAGTAAGGTTGTAATATATATCTGTCTCTCCTTTTTGCATCATAATTTTACATAATCTGGAGTACATATATCTTTAGTAGTATCTTTTGTTGTTACTCAACCTGAGTGTAATGACCAGTTACTGGTAAGAGTTTCTCGTCAATTGCGCCAAACTGGTATACGTTGTGCTCGTCGAACCAATTATGAATCTGCTTAGGAAAATCGATCTTCGCGGTGTCGCCATTCTTTCGCGTTGACTTCACTAAGCCGATATTCTGGCCGACCGGGAATCTCGCTGACATGGAAAAATATACAATGTAAGGCCTAATTGGTATTACTGAGTTCCATTCTCCCCTTTATATTTAGTGTTGAATTGTATTAACTTATTAAATACGATGGGCATTCAAATGATTCGAGATGCTTTTTATTTTTGGCATTGTACGAAATAATCGTCCGGTTATTCAAAAGTGTAACTCTCTTCTCACGAGCACGAACAAATCGCGATCGTTTAAGATTTAATAAATTATGTATGCCTCTTTATCTCTTTTATGACGAATGCAGACGAGGAGTTATTTGAATATTCTCATTAATTGTGACTCCATTAATTGTGATTCAAAATTGCAATATCTGAGGAAGAGAGAGAGAGAAAGAGAGAAAGGAGAAGGAGCCGTGGGGGAGGAGAAGTGGTAGGGAGGCATAAAAAACGCATATTCTTATTGTATTCCTAATAGGAAATTTGCACAATAATAGTATTATAAAATGAAGTTTAATTTTATAATGATTACGCTGAGATAATTTGAGATAACGCAACGGTTTTATCGAAATATAATTTTAAAATGATATTTATCAAAAATTGCACAAATCTAATTCAGGATATTTTTTGGGATATCACTGTATAATTATTTCAATATTTAAAAACAACATCATAATCCTCTATATTTTTCATACAATACAATGTAGTGACGACAATTTGTAATATTTGCAGTATTTTTAGACAAAAGATTTCAAATAAAATTAATTTAATATTCACCAAGAGAGAGAGAGAGAGAGAGAGAGAGAGAGAGAGAGAGAGAGAGAGAGAGA